CCGCACATCCGTCCTCACGGCCGCGCGCTCCATCTGGGACGCGCGCAGTCCAGCGTCAGCCGGTGCACAGCCCGGTTCCTGGAGGATTTCAGCCCGGCTTCTGCACCGCTTTCCCCGGCCGGGGGGGGGACACGGAGCTCCTCGCCGGGGCTACGCGCTGCAGATCGGGGAGGAAGGCGATGGACGCGGAGGCCGTGCCGGACTCCGGAGGCTCGCTGTGCCGTGACGGTGAGTGGCCGTGCGGCCGGTTTCCGGAGGCGTGTGTGCGGGGATGAGCACCGGGGAAAGGCCGGCCTGCAGCGGGGGGCTGCTCCGGTGTGTCCGGCTTAATGCAGGGCAGCTGGATCCGTGCATGGATGAGGGTGTCTGCAGCTGGATCGATCATCCTGGTGCCCCCCCTGGCGAGGGTGGGAGGATGGATGGATGGGTGGAAGCATGGATGGATGGATGGACAGAAAGACGGATGGATGGACTGGAATTACAATTTTCCTAGCTCTTTAAAGGGGTCTGATACTAACCCAGGATCAGTTTTAATCCTTCTAATTGTGTGCTTGTTACAATAAGACCTTTTTGTCCACTAAAAGTAAAAATACTTGTTAGTTTTTGTGTTTCTTCTAGTATATTTACACCTACTCCAAGCAGAAATATGTATGTTGAATTGCAATTAGATACCATTTGTATTCAGTGGTTAGGGAGAATGGGCCTAAAATAAAGGATGGATGGTTAATAGTTGATTTTTTTTACCTATGAAAACATTACATTTATGGTCATATGATGAAAGCTCTGCTTCTGACCCGAGCCTTAAGGCCTTTTGTAGGCTGGGAGAAGGGGAATTAAATAGAACCTTCTCAGTGAGCTTCTCTGTTCCTGTCAGTAAAAGGGATCCATTGTGGGGTTCATCTCTAAGAGGCGGCCAAAGTTAAGGCCTTTGGTGTTTGGTGTTTTCGGGTTATAGAAACTCTTCAGGCTGGAGGCAGCCAGAGACGAGGGAATGTGTGTTTGGGTGGTCGGGACATGTCTGAGCAGGTGCTCCACGTTTAATGTGGAGTCTCAGCAGAGCTCTCAGCTCGTTCCTCATCAGGACAAACCTGAGACCTCTCCTCAGATATTCGGTGTGATGTGGAAGTGTGCACCCTCTCTGCACTGTGACTGATGGAGTTATGTAACATCCACAGATTCTCAGAGGCTGCTGCATTTAGATTAGCAGGGTTTGGCACTCGGGGGGGCTTTTTTCTCCATTTTCAGTGGAAGAATCGTCCTGGACTTGTCTAGATTCTGTTTCTGTGATCAGAATTATTCAAAATGTCACTTAAAAATTAAAATTTGACATCAGACTTGTTTCGATTGCTCCTGAAAGAGATTTTCCCTCATGACTTATTCCTTTCCTTGTCTGTTGCTATAGAAAATAAAGAACAGAGAAAACATCTGTTGTGTTTAGAGTTTTAAGGCTGGAAGGCTGGTTCCAGATCCAGAATCTTTATTTGACCAAAACCTCCCCCGACATCAACACGCATGGAGTCTGTTCCCCTCTCAGAGCGCTGCAAAGCACTCTGGGAAACGTAGGTAATTGCTAGCTGAAGCGGAAGCAAACGGAGGCAGAGTGAAAGCTCCTGATGTGCCTCCAGCTGTGCAGACCGATGGAACCCGGCCAGCCCTGAGCTGAGCGTTCTGTGTCTCAGACCGCCGTCAGGAGGAGTGGAAACGCCGCCCAGAGGAGTGGAAACGCCACGCTAAAGGAGTGGAAACGCCACGCTAAAGGAGTGGAAACGCCATGCCGGAGGAGTGGAAACGCCACCCAAAGGAGGTCCAGTGTGTTCTGCCTCCTCAGATCCGCAGTGGCCTTCAGTAGAGCTCCCCTCTGAATCAATTCACCCCTCAATAACTGTTTCATGGTTATGAAAATCATCTTATTATGTAGAAATACAGTCTAAAGAAATACAGGTCTTCTACTACTGACATAAATAATATCCTCATAAACTCGCGAATATATATATATTTAATATATAATATGAAAACACATGTCTAGAAGCAGCACAACCATGAGAAGATTTATGAAAAGAAGCGGACAGACCATTTGGAAATATTTAATAAGTATTCATGGAGAAAATCTGAATAACATCAGTCAGTGATTTAGATATTTTCTTGGGCCAGCAGAGAAGGCCTAGCAGGCCCTGACAGATCAGGCAGAACAAATCACCTGCTCCTGGAAAAGCTTCTGCAAAGACAGAAACCAGTTCTGAACGCCGACAAACGCTGCAGAGACTGAGCAAAAAACTCATTTTGCCTGATTCTGAAACATCTCCCTCCGGCACTTTCCTGTTTTACTCTCAGATCCAGATGTTTTCTCTCTTTAAAACCATTTTTAGATCACGCTAACAGTCTCTCCCTCCACATATCCGCCTCCCTGGGGCAGCTTTTGCTGGGTTTGGAGGCAGCAGCAGACTCTGTGGGCCTCACGGGGTTCAGGCTGAGTCCCTGTGAGGCCTTTCAGGCTCGGAGGAGAGGGGAGCTGCACCATCTTTGAGCCAAAGCGGAGCCCTGGGAGGGCAGGCGGGGGGGCAGATGTTGGTCGGCTGGGATAGCTTGTTGTTCCAGCAGACAGGTGCACAGAAGCAGATGGAGCCTCAGATCTAAAGGTGGTGCCTAGGGTTTTTATCCAAGAAGCTTTATGGTTTAACACATGTCATTTTCTCATATAAAACGGGACTTACTGGCTCATAAGGGAAGAACTCAAAATCACATAAATTACTCTTTAATATTCTTTAATTAGTCTTTAATATCTGAAAACTGCATCAAATAATTTAATTTCTTCT